ATCAAGTAGCATTTGGCTCGATTTTCTTAGACGGGTGAATTCGCAACGTAACTTGAACTAAAAGCTGCGTCGCGACCGCTCGCGTCCCAATTAGGTTCAATACATCGACTTAGAGAGAAGCTTATTTTTATGCAAATTTTGAAGGAAATTTTTGCTTAGGAGGATGAGAGAGTCTCCGAGTTCATCCATGGATCAACGATCAGTGTTGTATGAGGAAGAAATCAAGCTGTCAATGCTACGACAACAGTTGGCACTTGAAGAATTAAAGTTGCTGGTGATTAAAAACGATCTTGCTCGAGCTCAACTAGAAAGGGAAACGATAGCCACAGAACGAGAACGCTTTGAACTGGAACGAGCCAAGCATGTATGTTTACAATTCAACTTTCGAAAAAAAATCCCCAAGTGATAAAAAAGTAAAAAGTGAACTACTCATAACTATTGATCATTGATAAACTAATGCAAAGCAATGTGTAGGAAAAAAGTCAGTAGGAGTTAACCCATGTAAAGGAAGAAACAAACCTAAACCATTCGGCCATAACCAATGGATAACGCCGGTAAAACGTTGATCGCATTCTCTCCAGTCGCTCTTCTATCGAAGCGGTTCGCATTCCAATTGGTAAACCTAAAACATGTGAAAGACTAATACACTTTACTTCTTGTTTTATTTGAAATATTTATTTCGTTCAACGTTTGTAATTTTGCTTATATTACTTTATCTAATTTTATATTAATAACTATTTTATTTATTCTTGGGTTGGGGTTTGGGAATCAAAGTTATAGTCTAGTCTTTTTAAAATTCGAAATTCGAAAAAAAAAACGTCCTGGTACTGAACACCATCATAAAAGCGAGATTAATTGGCCAAAGAACGAATGTACCCTCCTCTTCAAAAAGTCAGAAAGTGTCGGGTGCAGACCATACACCACAAGTGACGACGGCCTCCACAAAATGCAAATGTTTTTTGCCAATGAAATGATTAGCCTGTTGCAGTTGTATTCTATCAGTTGACACTAATTACAACTATCATTTACTAAAAATCAGCTATCACTATGAACTACTACCAGATTTACTTGGAGGCCGTCGTCAGTTGTGGTGTTTGGTCTGCACCCACACTTTCTGGCTTTTTGAAGGAGAGGGTATTTAGCATCTCATTCGTGCAACAATCCACCGATCCCACGTGGCCGTGTGAGGGGTCACTAGGACAGGAGGCGACTTCTTCCAGTGCGAAACGCTGCGGGAACGTCGGCTCCACTGCGGTGGACCTGAGGTTCCCACAGATAAAGTTCGCGCTGCGAAACGCGAAAAAGCTGGTTTTTGTTCTAGCGAAACACAGCCCTATGTGAGCCACGCCAACGAAATGTAAGATTATTGAAAATTTTATTTGGATGGAAATCCTTAAAATCTCAGGAGAGTCAAGTCGAGATGAATTTTAAATGTCTTCTTATTACGATGTAAACGGGCGATTAGCAGTCATTCACCGGGCTTCCAGAAAAACCTCCTTCCTACAGTTCAAATCATGACCCTCTTGGCCTTCAGCACAGATGAGAAATCTTGAAATCCACATCCAAGTTAAATCTTTGGCTCGCAGAGAATAAAACGTGAATTGTGTTTACCATTGTGCATCCGGTAGAGGATCTCCTTTCTCTTCAAAAAGTGGCTGCAGGACTCCTCTATAGGGGACCAAATTCGGGACCCATTCAACAATTCCTCCAGCTTCCTGAAATGATTCAAAAAGAGTTCACCTCTGCTATGAGAACTGTTGCTTTTCAGGAACAATATGCGGAAGAGCTGAAACTATTCTCATTACAACAAGACCTGGCTCGAGCTCAGCTGGAAAAAGAGATGATTGCATTGGAACGTGAACGACTTAAATTGGAGAGGGAGAAAAAGGTGAGAGACCTTAAGACTGCGCATGATTTCAAGTCAGGGGAAAAATGGAAAGATCACTCTGTGTTCAAAGATTTATAGTTGGAGTCGTACTCGCACGCAGCGAACAGGCGGCTATCGCGAATGGTGCGGTACAGTGAGGGTGCAGTCATACTTTGCGACATCTTGGAGTTCGAGTGTAGAGTATATACATATCGATTACACGACCTTGCGATAGAACGATCGTATAACTTCGTATAATGTATTAAAGGAATCTTCCGCGGAAAAAGCTCCGCCTCCATTACCACAGAAAAACGATACCCTTAGGCCCCTAGCCTCATGAGCATAGCAAAAAGAACGGAACATAAGCGTTAGTTTCGATAATACTAATCCTACACACAAGACAAAATGATCACTCTTTCCGTGGAAGATTCCTTTAAGGTATCGTTTTCTGTGGTAATGAGGGCGGAGCTTTTTCCGTGGAAGATTCCTTTAAGTGCAGTCGAAAGGTGTGAACGCTCCCCGAGGGCTATGAGATCATACTCCAAACAGCAGAAAAAGAAGCAAAAGCAAGCGAGAAAGGGTTCACAGGAGACCAGTGGCTGTCATCAGATAGCAGCTCCGTTTCGTCTCCTCTTTTTCCACATTTTGGCTTACCCTTGCTTCTCGTGCTCCGAAGTTAGCTTACACTGCGCTCTCGTCGAACGACCGCGCCCAGGCACGGTGGTCGCTTGGTAGCCGCTGCCGAGTATAACCGCAGCGTTGAATAATTTCACGCTCGAGGGTCACAGTTCCTACTTTCTTCCTTTACTACAAACTCTGTCTTATTCCCCCGTCATCAAAAAATTGAAACACATTCGCGGTGCTTC